CATTCAACATTGTATTATTATTTCTTGTTTGAATAAGAGAAGGGGGAGATAAGGAGGAGGAGATTGTTGGGCGAAGAAGAAGAGCCTTGTCATCATCTTTGCTGGTGTACATCTTCTTCTTCTTCTTTCTCATTTCTTCTTCTTCTCCTACTCCTCTCTCTCCTCTCAAGTTCATTCATTTCTTTCTGCAATTGGATGGCATTGTACTACTCAGTGGATGTGTATCTCGAAATTGGTCAGGGTCATAACAAAAGGACCCCCCTTTAACCCCTCTTAGCCCCTTCACAAATAATTTATACCCCCCTTCCCCCCCTTGACAGCCAACTTTCAAAAAATGAAACGAGCCCGGATTTGGGTTCCTCTGGGAAAGCGCAGAAAAGGCAATTTTTTTTTTTTTTTTTTTTCTTGCATGCCGGGGTACCCTGGAGTCTGGACGTCAGACCCCCCCAGGCGTCACGCCCGGGTGCCCGCCTAGATTTATTAAATTTATTGAATTTTATTAAATTTATCTAGGTTACCAGCCGGGCCCGGCTGGGCAAGTGACCCCGGGCCACTCTGGTAGCCTAGAAATTTATTAAATTTATTAAATCGCAATATGTGCTCTGAGTTCTTTACGGGTGGGTGGGGGTTGTACAACGAACCTGGCTGCTGTGCAAATTGGGTGACATGCCTTCTCGTCAGATAGCGATTCTGCAGAAGAGAATGATGAAAACGGTCACACAGTGTGGGACAACGATTCCCCAGACGAGCCTGGCATTGTGTGACCCTTTCTGTTGGACGACGAGGAGGGGTCCTGTAAACTGCCAGTACCCATCCCAGCGATCCTGTACGCAGCCACCAATTAACACAGCGCCATGGAAAGGTGCGGCCTACCGGACCAGAATGGCTGGCGGCTCCCAGTAGGACTTGTCCTGGCCTCCCCCAAAAAGGAAAAAGCGGCATAAGAAAAAAGAGGCTTGGAAAAGAAAAAGAAGGCTTGGAGGTACTGGTGGCTTAACATAAACAGCCCTATGTTTTCGTTGCTTGCCAGGCATGCTATCTGTTATTGATTGGTTGGTTGGATGGTTGGTTGGTTGGGTGGGTGGGTGGGTCTTGCAGGTCTTGGCTATGGCAGGCGGTCAGAGGCTTGTATGATGAACCGGTTCAGGAACGGGTCCTTCCCAAAAGTCTCAGTTGTGGGAAGACCTTTCGAGGAAGGAATACTCTCACAGAGATGGAGAAGGTGTGGTAGAAATACAACTGAATACTCACTGTCCACATGTCTTACTCTCTTTCCATCTTGTTGCATTGCACACGCATGCGCGCGCGCGCGCGCGAGAGAGAGAGAGAGAGAGAGAGAGAGAGAGAGAGAGAGAGAGAGAGAGAGAGAGAGAGAGAGAGAGAGAGAGAGA